GAGAGAGAGAGAGAGAGAGAGAGAGAGAGAGAGAAGAAAAAAGAAAAAAGAAAAAAAGGGGGGAGAGAAAGAGACTTATGTGGAGTAAGCCACTGAGTATCAATCACTCCGAGAAGAAACTTCACACCCCAGCGAAGGGATTGGAAGGATGCAATCCAGCCAGTAACAGGGATCTTCATAGTAGTGGCTGTGTGGGTGGAGAGCCTGCAGTAGGGAAAAAGAGCCGGCGAAGAAGAGAGAAACGAGCGCGTGGGGGAGCGGGATTATGTATGCAAGCAGGTCGTGAAGGCAGGGAGAGGGAGGAGGAGGAGGAGGAGAAACAGCAATGGGAGGTAAGCCAGCAGAACAGACGCAGGAAGTGTAAGCGGCAAGAGCAGTAGGGCGGTCTTTTTCGCGAGAGAGCAAGCGCGTCTCGGAACTTCGAGCGACTCCAGTCGGACCAGCGGGATCGTAGCCTGCGCTATCGTCACAGCTAGGAAATGAAAGGAGGGAGGGAGGCAAGCGTGAGGTATATGAAGCAGTTGGACTGCTGGCTTGGGACTGGTATGACGACGAAAAATGAGAAAGATGAGAAAAATGAAAAATGAAAAAAGAAGCGGAAATGGGGGTTTAGTTTTTCTGCTCTATAGTTTGGCCTAGTGTCAGGCACCTATTGGTTCTAAAATGGGTAGCACTGGTCCTAGGGCCTGTGAAACAGAAGAAAGCGGGAATGGTTTTTTTTTGTTTTTTTCTGCTCTCTAATTTGGCCTAGTACCAAGGGGCCTATTGGTTTTGAATCAGGTAGCACTGGTCCTAGGGTCTATTATAGCCTAGTTTAAGCACAAAAACCTGCTTTCCGCGTATATTACATAACCAAACTCAAAAGAAAGAATTCTAATGGGTGAAACAGAAAACCCAGTTTTTCCAACAGTCTGAGAACTTCGTAGAGAAGGCATAAATTGTATTGTCAAAGAAGCGATCAGGATATCCTCGTATCCTAAGTTCCCTTTTTAGAGTTACTAGGAACATTAGCTCAGCTAAGGGCCCTGACCCAAAATTTATGGCCCTATGAAGGAAAGAACTGATGACGGTGATCTTGTGCTGCTTGCTAGAGAAAGAAATGAAGTCCTCAACTGCCTGGACGACGATCTTTCCTGTTTGTATCACCGATACTTGGTTCCGATGGGTGGGTATGCAGCAAATTCCAATTGGTAAAGGAAACACTTCCAGTTGGCAGCCCAAAATGTCTCAGCGACCTCCCTGACATGTTTTTTCCAAGGTCAGATTTTTATCGTAGCATTTTTGAAAAGAGTCCAGGATGTAGTCCGCTTTCCTTCGTGATACAATTCTATCAATGTTGTACTTGACAAAGACCGACACATCATCAACTAGTCTTACACCCTGAATTAGATGTCGATCATTTCCTAATGCAGAGAGAAAATGAAACTCGTTGCACATGCATAGCATTACTGCGAGCGCAGGGCTTGAAGATTTGCCCATGGGAACCCCAACATTCTGTTTGAGCAGATGTCCCATGGCAAAGACGTACGTGTTGCTGAGCTCAAAGTCAACGAAGTCTTCAATAATAGCAAAGCTGAGAAATTTCCATTCCAAAATGGATCTTCTAGTAGACAACTTAGCTTCCTTTCCCCTCTTTTTTACCCAAACGCCATCGTAACCTTGAAAACGGAAAAAATACGAAAACCACCGAAGGGCCTGTCGAATAGAATCATGCGGTAACTTACAGAACATTTCTTTTACGTCAAAACTAGCACTGAGCAGCGACTCTGAGGGAGAAACCGTATCGTTGATTCCACTTAATGCCGAAACTAACTGTTGAGTGCTAAACAGATTGAAGTGCAGAGGAGCAGGAAGGTTCTTGACGAGGGTGTTTAGGCATGCGGTTACTGGTTTACAAGCCCGTAGGAAGGGTTCTGATGACGTGGGGCAGATAGGCCGCCATTTTTTAATATCTTTATGTTTGGCAATGGCGTAGCCATTTCCTAATTGTCCTTTACTATTCAAGCGCCAATTGAGTCGAATCCTGCCTTTAGGAATTTCCCTCTACAGGCACTGATAATATCTGCCTCGCTTTCGTTGATGACGCTGAAACCTGAGTTGCGCATAAATAAAGCATCCATCCCTTCTTTGTACACCAGCAGGCAGCAAAATAGTGTGTCGCTAGGATTGTGGTCAATCGGGGATAACACCATATCTTCAGTTAGGCTCTTCAGTAGGACTACACTCTCCGGTGTAAAGGGAAGCGACCGTAACCTAGAGACCGCAGACGGTAGGTGCACAGAGGGAGTAGAATTCGACACAGGGACATAATTACAAGAGAGAGGAGAGAGCGGATGTGAGTTATGTGTGGTGGGTACAACAGAGAGATTGTCCGATGAAAGCGTATGGGAAGAAGTTTTAAAGCAGGGGGAAAGAATAGCATTAGGAATGCTAAATTTTTTGGGTGAGGAGGACAGGGCAGGTATTTGATTGAGTGTTCTTAAGATCTGTGCTCTTAGTTGTGCAGGGCCATAGATACGAGAGGGCGGGGGAATGTTTCTTGAGTTGAGGAGCCAAGGGGGCGTCAAGCTCCAATCCTTAGCACGAAAGGTGATGTGACCATTTACCCTTGGTAACATAGAACGTAAGGTCAGGAATAGGGGGGAGATGGATGGGGAGGAGAAGGAAGATAAGGAGGAAGAGAGGGAGAAGGAGGAGGAGGAGGAGGAGGAGGTGGAGGGGGAGGAGGAGGAGGAGGTGGACGAGGAAAACGAGAGGGCAGAGGAGAATGAGGAGGGGGAGGGGGAGGGATAGGGAGAGGGAGAGGGAGAGGGGGGGGGAGATGGAGGAGGGGGAGAAGGAAGGGCAGGAAGTGGGAGGAGGAGGCTGTATAGGGGTAGGGTTGAGACAAGAAGGGTAGGTGATAGGAAAAGCGGGAACTGCAGAAGGGTACCGTCCCAACTGATGGATTAGACTGATTTCAGCATGCTTCGTAAACTTGTCAAGAATCCTATAACATGATCATTTACTATCATCCATCCTTGAGTACTTACGGAAATTATGGAGAGATTGAGCAAGACTCGGATTCTTGGTCCATACTAATCTCATTCTCCTTACCAACATACTTGCCAGAGATACGGGAATATGAGCTTGGCGAATGAGTTGGCCACTGAGACTTCGAACCTCTGATTTGGAAATTCTATCGGAATATTTAATTCTGAAAATGAGTCTCTTTCTTGGACAAAACTCAAACTTGCGATTGGTCTTGGATAGTATAAATCTCAGAGACTGTCTCGAAGCTTTTTTTTAGATTCGCCTAGCCGCATTATAAACAAATACTAAATTATCAAGTGGCCAGCTGTACAAATTCCTTCTTTCGTTGGGGTGACTCAGCAAACGAGACAGCGGCTCTTTCAACGATTCGGAACAAGAACAAAATTTGTTAATAGACACGATTCTGAACAGATGTCCGCTCCCAACCCATTATTTGCAGTGCTTGAGTTGATCCCTACCAAATCTGCTGACTATCACTGATGCCCCAAAAAGTTGTTTGATAACCTTCCACAAATCCGACAACAAACTTCCTCCCTGGCCTATTGCAGAAAAAAACTTAATATCAAGCTTCACACAATGCTTCAGGATCTGTAGCAGAGAAATTGAGGAAATTCCAACTGAGGAAGCAAAGAACATTAAACGTTTGATCTTT